GCGGGGGCGCCTGCCGCAGCTGGGGCAGCCAAAGTCGTGAACGTGATCAAAGCAGCTTTGCCAGTCAGGTCTGTTTTCTGTGAAGGATTTGTTTGATTTATTCTTCTCCCTTTTAAATCTCTGTCTCGGCGGGATCAGCTTTTCCATTAACTTGCTGGGGGTGATGGCGAGATAAGCACTACATGCACACCCTGCGCGTGCTGTTTCCTTTTTTAAGGTCCTCGCCTGTCCCCGGCCACCTAGGACTTCCCCAGCTGCTTGCAGAGATGGTTTATATCAAGATGGGTCCACCCTCACCCGTCCCCAGGAAAAGGTGCCTCAGAGTCCCTCCCCCACCCCCCCCACGCCCTGCGGAGCTCGGCTGGCTCCAGATGGCATCCCCTTCTCCCAGCAGCAGAGGTTGTTTTTTGTCTAAGGTTGGAAAACCCAGCAGGGATCTGCATCTCACACCTGGGTGAGTGTTAGGTGGGCAGCCCCTGAGGCATCGCCCGGTACCCGGCCACCCTGAGGCTGCGGGGATGAGCCCATCTCCTGCTGCCAGGAGCTGCAAACATATAGAAGCAAGACGGAATAGATGCTGCCATCCTTGTCCAGGGGAGATTTCACCAGGAAGGTCATGGCCAAGCCCCGATTTCAGGGATGTTGGTTACGTGGGAGCAGTGGTGAACAGGCACTGCTGGAGGAAGCTACAGCTGCGTCACCAGGCTGGGACCACCCTGTCTCACCCTTGCCCACCTAACCCGGGCATGGGAAAGGCCGGTAGCGATGCTCCCTGTCTGCAGGAACCAGGAACCCAGTGAAACGAATGGTGTCGTGATGCTTTGATGCAGATCTCTGGGGTTTTGGAGCCCTCTCTTGATTTCGGAGTCCGTGCCCTGCTCCTGGCTGCCGGCTGTGCCGGGGCAGCCTCCGCTTTCCTGGCTGCCGGAGCCAGGCAGCGGGATGCAGGTCGCCCTGTGTCCTGCCAGCCCCATAACAGGGAAAACAGTCCCAAAGGGAAAGGTTTTCCATCCAAAGCTGGGGTGGGGGGCTCAGGGTGCCTGTGGCAGAGCTGATCCCAAAGGCAAAAAGCTTTCCTCCAGGCTGGTGGTCCCTCCCCACATCACCCGGGGGAAAGGGCTTTGCAGTACCCACACTGTGCTGTTCAGGTGGCTCATCCCTCGGCGTTTCATCCTCTCTCAGCCGTCCTGGGCTGAACTCTCCCCCTTCCCCTGCATCCCCCACCGAGTGCTGCCTGACTCATTTCCCGTGTCCTTTGGGCCCCAGCATCCTGGCTGCCTCCGCACAGGGACCGGCCCTGGCTGAAAAGCTGATTTCACACCAAACTCCTCTGCTTGAGATTGTGATCAGGGCTGGGCTGCTCGAGTTGAGTGATCTGTTCCTCCCGCTCCCCAACCTCAGCCTTTGAAAACCCAGAGTTTAAAACTAAAATAAACCCAAAGCACTATCTGCCTCCTTATCTGCACCCTGATTTCTGCAGGCTGCACATGCCTCATGGAAAAGCAAGAAGCAGCATTTAAAGGTGGAAAAAAACAAAGAAGAAACGCCAAAAGAACAAGTAAAGATGCTCATAAAGTCCTCAGCACTCAGGAGCTGTGGTCAAAAACAACCAAAAAATTCACACTAGGGACTTGTTGGGCTCACTGGATTTTCTCCAGGCACAAGACCCAAGGCTGGGCCGTGCTGGAGGGATGCAGAGAGGCAGTGATGGGCAACAGGGATCAGCATCACTGGGACGTGGGGGGCTGCAGGACCCAAAATCCCCCATGACCTGGCCCCGGGTCCCCATGGTGATTTTCCCCGGGCTGCAGCTATCAGCAGCTACAATCTGCTTTTGCGGCATTAGTGACTGTTAGTTTTCACACGTATTTTCTGAAACCACCTGCCCAGGGAGGAAAAGACACCCAGCGTAAGATCAGTTCATTTCCTCCGGGACCACCCCAGAGTATTTTCCTTGTGCATCCTTCCCCGGCACCTCTCCGAGCCAGGGGAGCGGGGATCGGCGTGGCTGTGCAGCAGCCCCAGCATGGCTGCCCTTTCCCCTTGGCGCGAGTCGCTTTTGGAAATTTTCCTAAAATACTTTTGCGAATATTTCCCAGGTCAGCCGTGTGAAAGACCTTGATCCCCACCCCCCCACCAAGTTTGCTGCAGGGAAAATTAAAAGCGAGAAGCGTTGGATGTGGCACCGGCTGTGCGGGGCTGGGGTGAGGGCTGGGTCCTGGCAGCCCTTGCTGGTTTTGGGACCCCGGGGCTCACTCGGGGCTCATGGCAGTGGCCAGACCACGAGCTGGGCGAGGTGCCAGCCCTTAGGAGCCCCAAGGGAGAACTTTTGTCCCACCGGACAGCTGCTCTGGCTCTGCTGGGCTGGGCGTGGGGGGAAAAAGCAGGATTTGGGGTGCTGGCCTGGGGCACAGCAGCAGTGGAGGGGTGTCTGCATCCCTCCAACCCTTGGCTGATGTTTTCCCTCCATTTGGCACAAGATGTCAGTGCTGCCCAAGGAACGGCTGCCAGTGCTCTCCCACTGCATGGCCTGGCTGGGCCATGGTGCTCCTTCTCCATCACCTTGGGGTCCCCAGCCTGGGGTGCTGCCCGGGTGCTTCTGGAGCCCGGACATGGTCCCCCCCTCCAGCAGGGTCCCACTGGGGCTTCTCCTGCCTGCTGGAGATGCGCCGAGAGCAGCAGGTCACAGCCAGCCCCGTGGCCTCAGGTCCTTCTCCTTTGGAGACACCACGAGGCTCTCAGACCCCCCACGCCCCCAGGGAACCATCTAGGGAGAAATCCAGGAGCCTGGAAGAGGAAGGTGGAGGGGGATCAGCCCCATCCCCACATCCCAGGGCATTGCCATTGCTGCCGCTGGCCATCCTCCCCCTCCCTGTGGTGGGCAGGAGAGGGAAAGCAGCTCTCCCAGGGCTGGCTTCCCTTTGGGGGGGAAGATCAGATGCTCCATGCTGGGAAAAAAAAATAGGAAAGGGGATACAGAGGGAAGAGAAGCTGTAAATGAAAGAACCGAAACCCTCTACCAGCCACACATGGAAAGGGGGGGAAAAAACCCCCTCAAAAGAGTGTTGACAAGTCTGGAGGCTTCTGGGACCTTGGGTGACCAGAAAAATAACACATCAAAGACCTCACGTATGCCTGAAGACAGATAAAAACTCTGAGCCAAAATGTTCTATGAATATTTAACTACCATCAATATTTAATTAGCAGATAGAGAGAGATTAAGAGCAAACGGATCCATCCTCCGCTTTCACTCCAGCCCTGCTTTGTGGGCACGTGGGGGCTCGTGGCAGTGGTGGTGGGGGGCACGGCACTGCCTGCTGCAGGGCTCGGCGCCAAGACTGGGGCACAGGGACCCCGAAGGAAGGGAAGGAGCCCCCCAAAAGGAAAGGGTCTGCTTTCCTCTCCCCCCTCGTTTTGGGGATGGATAGGAGAGAGGAGGGATAACTTGTGCAGGTCCAAAACAGCCATCCAAAAAAAATCTGCAAAAAAAATCTTTTTGGCGATTCAGGATACTCCAATAAGAGCATCTTTGCCCACCGGCATTGCGAGGCCCCCCGTGTTCTGATGAATTGGCTGCCGAGGGGGGCAAAAAGAGCTGGGGAGCCTGTGACTTCTCCCGCTGACCCAGCTCCATTCAGCTTTCCGTCCATGCTCGCCCTCCTCCAGGCTTGAAATCCCAGCCAGTGGGGTAGGGGGGTGCCTGCCTGCCCCCTAAGATGCCCCCCAAGCTGCCCCTCCCTTGCCCATGCTGCTCGCCTGCGTGCTAATGCTTCGCCCTCCGTGTCTAAGCCACCTGCGCCTGAGTGTCTTAATCCACTGTTAATCCCTAATGGCTAATCCTTTTAGGTGACAGCAATAGCCGGGGGGTGGCAGGAGGGGAGGGGATGGGACAGTCCCTGTGCCACCGTGGTCCCCTCCTAGACCATGTCCCCTGTGTCAGGGGACATCTTGGCAGCCCCCAGCCCGACCACAGAGCTCTTACCCTTCGTGGGAGGCTCGTCCTGGGCCACCACGGTCCCCGGTACGGGGGTGGGTGCTGGGAGGGGGTCATCCCTGGGGCTTGGGGGAGAGCTGGGGGGTCCCACCACAGCTCAGCCCTGGGCTTTGGGCCCCGTCTCCCATGCTCCGAGGTTATTTCCCTCTCTGGAAGCTGTCCTAGCTGGAGGGGACTGGAGAGGGCAGCAGAAACCAAGCCGTGATGGATGTTCCCTGCCTGCTGGGCCAGGCACAGGCAGAACTTGGGGGATGTGGGACAGGCGCATTTCCAGCACATCTGCAGCCCCCCAAACACCTCAGAAGCTCTTCCCAGCCCCTTCCTAGCCAAACTATTGCTGGTGCAAGTGGAGCACTTTGTGGGTGCAACCATGAGGATGTCTCGATCCGGGCGTTTGGTCTGGACCAGGTCTCAGAGGTGAGAATGCAGGGCTGAGGGCTGGGGGTGGGATGGTGCTGGGGACCCCCCATGCTGCCTCATCCCTTCTCTCTACCCCACTGCTGGTCCCTACAGCCCATGCCAGCTGGCATTTACTCTCCCAGCCAGGGTTTTGTGGCCAGCCTTGTCCTCGGGGATCTCCTGAGCCGTGGATGCTGCGAAGCGGGGGGATTTCACGCCTGCTGACGGCTGGCGGCAGCGGG